GGGGGGGGGTCAAAAAAAGGCAATAGCTGTCTGTTGGCAGCATCCGTGGAACAAAAAATACGGATTCTTCTCTCTGTGATGCAGCTTACTGGCTTGGAGGACGGCGTGAGGAAGTTAAATTTGACGAATGTATAAAATGTACATTAGACTGACTGGCACGGAATCGGCCAGTTTCTGTGAGGCAATGGTGAGATGAGAAACGGCCTGAGTCAAAATAGTGCGATCAAGTTGATAGGAGGGTAGTCTGACACAGTTGCGTTTGGTATGTTTTTGCATAACATCAAAATGCGTCGCACGGTTAGGTCGCTTATGGTTGGGTCTGGATGGAGCATATACTGCTAGCTAAAGTTCCGCGCAACTATTGAATGTGTATGTGTTTTTTTAGCGGAATTCACTCCAGAAGAAATCTTCAATATGTTTTTTGGCGGCGGCTATCCTGCAGGCCATCTAAACAGACGTCAGCGTGGAGCCCACTATCATTTTCAGCACCATTCAACACAGCAAGAACAGGTTATTGTTATTTTTTCGATCTTCGGTAGTGCTAAGTTTTTTAGAAATCATCATCTTCACTTCTTACGGAGCTCATTAGCGTAATTTTTTGTGATAAAATTAAGAGAGGTGCAAACCGGGTGGGAAACTTCAAAATGTTCAGCAAACTTTACACTTTTTAGTATTTTGTTGTTTAATCGATATTGTTTTCAGCCTTCGTATGCATCTATTCTGCAGCTTTTACCCCTGTTCGGAGTGCTTTTGCTTGGTCTTATTGCTCAGCTAATGGTAGGCGACCCAGCATTCTCACTTCATCGGACCAGGTGTGTTTCCGAAGTTCTCTCTCTGAAAAGTATCTTATATTACAAGTAGCACTCTCTGGCCAATTACTGCAGCTCCTATGCTCTCTCTGGCAAATCTCTGAACGTTTCATAAACTGCAGTGTCAGTATAGCCCACCATCCCAACGTGACAGTCTTTTCGTAGTTGCTGGATTGTTGCCCTCATTTTCATTTCAGTAAATATACGGAGGAGCGATTCACGCGGGATTTGAAAGTGCCCTATTATGTGAAGAGCGATTTCTTATCAAATTATCGGAGTAAGTTGGCACAAATCGAGCACCAAGTTGAGGATGAGTACATCGGTCAGCTGCGCATGAAGTGCTTCAAAGAGAGGAATGAGAGTAAGCCATTCTTCAGCTTCTCCTGAACTTATTCTTGCTTGCTTGGCCTCCAAGCAGATCTGTTAATTCATAGCGATCGTTCAGAGGAGACTACGTTGTGGAAGGCGCGAACATTCGGCGATGCAGACCTGTGGAATCGAGCACAGCGCATGGCAACACCAAGCTGCACTCGACTGCAGCAAATCTACAGCTAGCTGGTGTGTGCGTGTGTGTGTGAATGCATTTTACAATTTGATGATGATGATGATGATAATGGTGGTGGTGATAATGATGCAAGTATCGCTGCTACTCCACGCTAGAATGGCCACTGCTCAGGTGTGTTCCTCAAATTCTCTTCCGCTTTTCAGAGGCGGCCCATCCAGTGACTAATTGAGCATTGTGTTGCTTCCTATATGTACCATATATTACAATATCATCGTGATTTCGCTAAATCACTGAAGTTGCAGTGCTGCTGCGTGAGGCTGCTGACCAGCTGATACCTCTTCTCCTCAACACTCTTTGCGAAGCGATTATTTGCATGTGCTGGTGCTCACTCTTCCACTTTTTCAGAAAAGCGCAGCATGCCGGGCACATGTAAGTCTTCTAGCGCATAGTTTTTTGATCGATACGAAGCCCATTCTGCCCAGTGCTCCTCCGGCTTTTCACCCGTCCCAAATTGTTCTAAGTGTAATTGACAGCTCATTCGAACTTATAAATTTCCATTCTGTACTTAATAAAATTAATGAATTGTTGTAGCTTCACTTTAGTACTCATTCTAAAATAGTGTGATTGGTGTATCCCGATTCCTTGTAGCCATTAAATCGAGTCGCTGTGAAAATAACTTAGTGTAAGGACTGTCCAGCAGGAGGTTTTTTTGTTTTCCACAGCCCGGCCCTTCCGCTTCTTTTCACGATCTGCTGTGGCACGGGTGGCGAGGATCCGCAGCTCAGGTCGGGTTTGCACCCGAGTACTCGCAAATCTTTCCTCACATTCAGCTCCACGGGTTTATTTTTTGTAAATTCATTACTAGCAATTTTCCTTTTTATTGTAGCTGGCGTCAGTAGTCGTCTCAATTCCTGCTGTCATAGCTGTAGTACAATTAATTTGCAAACTTTGTAGCCCCCCTTCCCCCTCCCGTGTGTTGATGTTCTTGTGAATTTCGGGATTTAGTTTAGCTAAAAATACACGGTGGTCAGAAACCCCTTTGAAAAGGATTTTTTTGGATGAAAAAATAAGATGTAAGCGGGAAATGCGGAATTTCTTAGGCTTGGGCTTTTCCGGTCGGCAGCTTGTACCGTGGTTTTCAATTCAGAAGTACATTGCGTTGAGCGATAGAGTAATTTTATGAGGATATTCGCAGTAATCCACGGAGTCTGGATGACTTGCGTTCAACTGCTCCAACTGAAGGAGTGCGAGTGAAGTACTCTCTGTCACTGCACTGCTATTCAGAATTAAACCACTTATGTGGGCATGCTCCCCGGGGCATGTTGTTGTAGCGTCTGTGAAAAGTTGCCTAATTTTTTACTAGTCTTACTGCTTTTGTTGTATCGCCTACCGCCGCAGAGTTGAAATTAGCGCATAGTCCTCAGAAGTGTGGCCTGAAATAAAAAAAACAAATGAAAAACGTAGCAAAAAGAAAATTTATGAGTGGAAATTGCCTTACAGAAGCCCTTCTGGCTTCTTTTATGTCTTCGCTTGTTGCGCACTTTTTGTGCTTTGATGAGTGCCGTCTGTTGGGGAATGCTGGTTTCGTACAATTAGCAGAACGAGATGACGGTACGCGGATTGAAGCCGATTGATCGGCTGTGTGTTCTTACACATTTCTTAGGCCATTGCAGTTATGGACAGGATAATGCTCGGATTTCTGTTCGCAAGATAGCGGCGTCATTTGACCATACCTTTGTCGCATCCTTTATTCTGTTTTATTGTTATGTGCGATGAATTTGTTGTGCCCGAGATTTCCATGTGATGCCTGATTTCCACTGATTTTCATCCTCTCACAGATGGCTTGAGAATTAACCACTGTTTCCAGCCAATTTCTACTGATTCCTGTTGTTTAAGCTATCCATTTCTATTTCTTCTTATTGCGCTTTGTACGTCTTGTTCTTTTAAATAGGCGTGCGAAAAAGTCCCGGTGAGAGAAGCCAAGTTACCGTGTGTCTTTCTCAACGGCCTTGTGAAAAAAGTCCAAAAAGTCCGACTTGCAAGTATCGTTGGATAGGTAGTCCCCTCCTGTCGTTCGTATCCTAGCTTGAAGTTGTTTTTAGTCCCGAAGAGCAAACATTCGAACATTTTCTGCTTACAAATGTGATCACTTATATCTGAATTCAAGGCTATGACCCCAGGAATCCCGCAGTGGAGTAAGATATTGTCTTAGTGGACATCGATGGGGCAGGACAGGATGGGAGCTAGAGTCGTGGTAATGAACAGGGAGCATAATTTGCGTAATTCGTCTTAGGAAACGCAATGCCCTCATACCGTTTTGCAACAGCGATCACCTGTCAAGCATAAGGGGGATTCGAAGTGAGCAAGGTGCTGAGAC